GGGCTCACTCCAGGCTCTCACTTCACCCCTGCAGATAATCATCCCTAAACGCTCCCAACTGCTGACCTCAGGCTTGCTGTTAAGCTCAAATAACAATTTCTAAACTTAATTTGTTTCTCCTTCTGCCCAGAAAGAGCCTCACACCCTGCTGGGAGTGGAAAGGAGATTTGTTATCAGCTCCCATTATCTCCCTTGACCCAGAGAGGCTGCCCCAAATAATGACTTCTATGAGAACAGAGAGAGGCAATACTCAGTTTTATTGTTTTGGGAGACTATTTTGAAATTCAACTGGAAATAAGCTTTAAACAAACCAGTCATTCCCAGAATCCCTTCCAACAGTTTATGCACCTGTGGTGGTTTAGGAATGGTATTCCCCAATTTACTGTTCCCACTGAAAACACCCCAGACCATGTGCCACCCACCCACTCCCCCCACTGCTCCTGCAGCAGGGTGGAGAGGAGAATGGGAGGCACAAGAAAGTAAACCCCGTCCTGGCTGGAACCAGGAAACACCCCAAAATCAACTCCTGTAAATAAACAAATTTTTAAAAAAATAAAAGAAAATAGAGAGAAGCCAGATTAGGAGTGCTTTTATCATGACTACATAAACTACTAGAAGTTCCAAAAGTAGAATTATAACCCCTATTCTTTACCTCATTGTGTTAAAATAACTGGGCATTTCAAAAATCCTTTCAGTATGTTCACCGACTTTAAAAGTTGTGGCAACATGGGGAAGATGAAGTATCAAACTTGCATATCTCTTGCCTGTCATCTACTATGACAGGCATCAAAAAGTGCTCTAGGACTTTTTAGCATATATTACATGATATTCAGTGAGGAGTTTTAAAGGGGAGAAAAAAGGAATGCTCTGCTATCACCAAAAAAGAGCATTTCAACCTCTTTGGAGCATGTATCAAGTGAGATTTGGGTCTCTCTAGAGCCTTATGCTAAATTGATACAAGTGGAAGAGATGAGAAGTCACATCTTGCAGCTCTGCAGGTTCCTCCTGACAACCAGTGCAATTCTGAACTGCAGAACTCTGCCAGAACCCTTCAGGCACCAGAGCAACACCACGTAGGGAAGTTTTCAAACCAGATCAGAGTCCAGAAAGCAGGCACAAGCTTCAGCTTTATTGTTCTCCCAGCCATGGTCATCTTTGTAAAGGAATGATATTGCAGCTGAAAAAGAAGAGGGTAGGAGGAAATATTAAATTTTCATTTCTCAAACAGGCAGGGAAGACCTGACATGGCTCAGACCCAGCACAACCCTCCTCCACTGGTTTAGCAGACAAACCAGCCATCATTGATGGAACTCGACTCCCTGTATCCCTGTGCAGAAGCAACAGCCTCCAGCTCCCTGCTGCCCACCCGTGAGGTCTGTCACAGTGGGCAGTGACACAACCAGGGCTGGCCTGCTCAGGAAATGTGCCCTGAGCTGCTGAAAGCCTCTTCCCTCCAGCAAGTGAAACAGTAGCTCACCCCAGGAGGCCCTTCCCGGCCCAGCGCTTTGGAGTCAGCCCCACGTGCACCCTTCTGCCACCACGGATCACAGTCACGCTCAGGGGTCTCTGAAAGAGGGGAAAAATAAAAAAATAACCAAAATATTTCACTTTTCCATCACAAAGTCAACTCCCTTCTTTTGCTGAAGCACACGAAGAACATTAAGCCCAAGGAACTGTTGTGCAGCAGTGCCCACTCCCACTCCTGTGGCTGTAGCTGAAAGAATGGAGTGTTTTGTGTGAAGTCATCTCCAGAGATCCCTCACTTTCACCACCAAGCACTTAATGGTTGTGGCAGCTTCTCTGGCCAGGCCACGAGGGTGGCACAGCCGTGCTGCTGCAGGGAGTCCCCAGGGAGAACAAACAACGTGATGATCACAGCTCTCAGCTCCTCCCTTCATCAGCAAATGGCTCAGTGCTGTGAGAGAACAAGGCTACAACTAACTGCACAGACTGAATCTGACACTGCTGCTGACATGGAAATGATGATTCCAGAGATCCAAGTTCCATGGAAAAAGCTGTGGCTAACAGAGACAGGCAAGAGAATGCAGTCACAGCAGGAATGAGCTCACCCCCTCGCTGTGCTGCACCACCGTGGCAATGTTCTGCAGGTTCTGGAAGTTGTTTGCATTGACAGATCCAAACTCCACAATCTCATCATCAACTTGAAGTCCCTGGACAGAGATAGAAGAGAGATGAGCATCTGCATTCTCCAAAGACAGGGAATATCACAGGAGCATCACCCTTCACCCAGCCACAGGGAGAGAGATGTGCTACAACACCGCTCACACTCAGGGCAGTGAACATCACCACAGCCACAGCGAGAGGTAAGTGCTCATTCCTCTGTTCTGTTTCATGGGAAGAGAAACACTGAGGCTGGAATGGCCAGTGAGGTGTGGAAGGAGCTGTGTGGTGCCAGGATACAGCTCAGGGAACACCCATTTGGTGAAATGTACAGTGTACAGTGACCAGCCCCTGCACAGGACATCCCAACGTGACGAAAAGACAGCTCAGGGAACACCCATCTCTGTACAGTGACCAGCTCAGGGAACACCCATCTCACCCCTGTACAGTGACCAGCCCCTTCACAGGACATCCCAATGTGATAACAAGGAGGGGCTGACACCCTAATCAAGGCCCCAGCTTATTCCCACTCATTAACACGAGGCAGAGGGAGCCATGAGCTGTCTGGCTCCAGCCAGAGCCTTCCCCACGAGCTGTGCCCCACGCACCGAGACGCTGGCAGGAGAGCCCGGGGTCACGGAGTTCACTTTGGCAAAGGCCTGGGGCAGGCTCTGCCTCTGGCTCATGGCCTCGGCCAAGGCCTCTGCCTCATCCCTGGCGTGCTTCTCCTTCTCCCGGGCGTGCAGCTTGTGCAGAGCTTCCTCCACCTGCTTCATCAGCGCCTTGTGGTCATTCTGCAAACCTGTGGGTGACACCATGAGCACACAGGGAGCTGGAGAGGCTTCCCCAAAGGGCTCCCAGCACCTGCTCCCCCCTGCAGCCACGCAGAGCAGTGCCCTGGCTGTCTCTGGTCTCAGCAGGAACCTCTGCTCTATCTGCTGGGGCCTGGTGCCAGCCCGGCAGATGTTTATCAGTAAAAGTCAGAGAAAACCACCCTACAAATTTTGGTAAACATGCAAAGGCAGAAGGGCTGGGAGGCCCATGATCCCTTAGCACTCAGTGAGCAGCTTAAGGCTTCTTTCCATTAAGTCACCTGCTGTTACGTATGTACCCATCCTGAAAGTCAGGGCACTGGGAAAGCCTGGGATGGAATAAATGCCAAGCTGTTTCCTACCCAAATTTTATTCTACAAACAGCACAGAAAGGCTTTGTTGTGTTTCACAGGTCCCAAATGGCTCCGCAGCAGTGGCAGAATTTCAGCGCCGCTGCAGCAACACGTGTTCAAAAGCATTTTACTGACCCGGCCCGGGCGGCAGCTCCGAGCCCTGGGCAGAGCCAGCGGGGAACGGGCTCAGGGCAGCCCCGGGCTCCGGCTCTGAGCAACCTCAACGGGGGCCAGGGGGGCTCAGAGAGATGAGGAATCACAGCGAGGGCCAGGGGGGTTCAGAAAGGTGAGAAATCACAGCGAGGGCCAGGGGGGTTCGAGAGCCCAGCGGCTCCGCGGGTCCGCTCCCCGCGCTCGCCCCGCAATCCCGGTTTCGCTGGCTCATCCCGCGGGATGCGGGCGCGGCCCGGCCCGGGAAAGGCGCCCCCGCCCGGTTCCCGCTCCCCGCTCACAGATGATGTTGTGCCGGGCGGTGCGCACTTGGTACAGGTCGATGTCGGAGCGGGGGAAGCCCTCGGCGTCCACCAGCGGCTCGTGCATCCCGACGCCCTTTTGCTGTGAGGGAAGAGGCGGCGGTTGGGAGGAGGCCGGGCCCGCGGGCCCGCACGGCGCCCCCCGGCCCTGCCCGGGCACCGACCCCCTCCAGCAGCTCGTAGCACGCTTTGATCTGCGCCTCGATCTCGTCCTTGCGCCGCACCAGCTGCTGCACATCGCTGACGGTGACGGGACGGGCCCCGCCGGGCTCCGCCATGGCCGCGGCCGGACGGGAGCCGGGACGGCGGGGGCGGGGCCGGGACGGCGGGGGGCGGGGCCTGTGAACCCGGGGGCGGGGCCTGCGAACCCGGGGGCGGGGCCTGGCCCGCCGGGGGCGGGGCCGTGCGGCGGTGACACGGAGGCGACAATAGCGGAGTGACACACCGGTGACACACCGGTGACACGGAGTGGCAGTAGCGGGGTGGCGCAGCTGCGTCACTGCCCCCGCGGCACGCCGCTGTGGCGCTGGCATGGGGTGGCCCAGCGGTGTCACCGTCTCTGGGTCACACCGCTGTGGTGGTGCCATGGGGCGGCTCTGATGGCGACACAGCGGTGTCACCATCGGTGACACACAGCTTTGATGCTGACACGCAGTAGCACAGCGGTGTCACCACCTCTGGGTGTTGTGTCCCTGTCCCCGCTGCTGGCCCCTCTCCAGCCTGTGGCCCCGCACATTTTCCGGGTGCTGCATGGCATCCATGTCCCCATGGCGGTGTGGCAGCAGGGGACAGCCCCACCACGAGACCCCCACCGTGTCCTCCGTGCCACTGGCACCCACCCAAGCCCCCTGTGCTCATCCTCTGTGGCCTCGCTGGTTCTGCAGCTTCCCACCACTGCCAGTCCGGTGGAGTTTGTGCCCTGCTGTCCCCCTGGCAGGGCCAGCTCTTGCCCCCTCCTGCTGCTGTCCCACCTTTTGTGTCCCTGTGCCCAACACCCCCTCACACCCAGCTGGGCTCTGCAGCTGCCCTGGCTCACGTCCCCAGCGCGGGGGCAATGTCCCCAGGGGCAGCGGGCGGGCCGGGGGACGTGCTGCCCAAACTGCGTCACCCCCGGTGACCTGTGCCACACACGGGGCAGGGACTGGGCTGCGGGGCCAGCAGGGTCCCCGCCCCGCAGAGCCTCACGTGCGGCACCGCCAGCGCTGGTGACACGGCCCCGGTGACAGCCACCCCCGCTCGGGGCAGACCAAACACACCCCCGGGTTGGCGGCGGGAGAGGTGGGGCCGGGAGGAGCCTCCGGCCCCGTTATATTGAAAGCCCCCCCGTGCTCGCCCTCTCTCTGCTCCCATCACATCGCCAGGCCGCGGGAATGGTGAGGGGCACCAGATGGGAATTAGCTCAGGCACCCGGGGCTCCGTGGCACGGGACACTTTTGGAGATTTAAGCTCTGCTTGAATTTGGATTTTCCAGTGACTGAGCTGGACGTGGCAGAGCAGAGCTGCTCTCACAGCCTGGCCTGTGGGTTCAGCTCCCTGGGGCTGCTGTGCCTGCCTGTCCCACTAATGTCTCTCCTTTCTCCTTCTCTTTCAGACGTCCTACACAGACAAGGGGGAAAAGGTAAGAGTTGTGTCCCTGTCCTGCCCCTCTGCCTGGCGTGAAACATCGGGCACGCTCCTGCAGATTATGTCAATTCCTTGATTACCTGTTGAAATGAGAAGTAAAACTGCTCTGGGCCACACAAGATCCTTGTGGTAAATTAGTGTTAATCACTGAAGTTTTTGGTTTGGGAGGAGAGTGACAAACAGGAGATGATGGCTATTTCCCAGCAAGGCAAACCTTAAGCAGAATCCTCATTCCATGCAACATTTATTTCCAAATGCTGCATTTTTTCCTCCTTTTTCACTTTTAAAGTGTTTCCAGTGCTGGGTGGCCTGTGCCAGGTTGGGCGTGGTGGGGAACGGAGCAAAGGGGATCTGTGCTGGCCCTGGTGGTTGTGTAAGAGCTTTTGTGGAAGAATTAATGTTTAACACAGCGAGGTTTGCAGGTGAGCAGCTCGCTGGGATGGCCACTTGTGGGGAGCACTGGGAGAACTGGGACTGTGGCTGTGGGCAAAGCCAAACTGGTGCTCTGTACATTCCTGCAGTGCAGGATCCTGTGGGACTGGGCTGTAAAGCACTTTGGAAAAATCTCCATGTGGGGGTAGTTCCACCCAGTTAATCCAGATGCATTTGCAGGAGATGCATTTCCAGGGTCCCAGCTGCTGCTTCCCCCTGCTCCAGAGCCGGGCAGTGCTGCAGGAAATGCAGCAGCAGCAGCTCTCAGCCCCTTTTCCTTTCCTTTTAGCCCCAACGAGGCCGCTTCATCCACTTCCACTCCATCACCTTCTGGGTCGGCAATGCCAAGCAGGTGAGGGGCTTCACACGGGTGAGGGGACAGCAGTGCCAGGGGACAGCAGTGCCAGGGGGAAGAGCAGTGCCAGGGGACAGCAGTGCCAGGGGACAGCAGTGCCAGGGGGCAGAGCAGGGCCAGGGAACAGCCATGCCAGAGCAGTGCCAGGGGACAGCAGTGCCAGGGGACAGCCACGCCAGGGGACAACCATGCCAGGGGACAGCAGTGCCAGGGGACAGAGCAGTGCCAGGGGACAGCCGACCAGGGGACAGCAGTGCCAGGGGGCAGAGCAGTGCCAGGGAACAGCCATGCCAGAGCAGTGCCAGGGGACAGCAGTGCCAGGGGACAGCCACGCCAGGGGACAGCCATGCCAGGGGACTCCTCCCGTGCCGGGACAGGCATTGGCTGCCCGGGGGGCGTTGGCTCGTCCCAGCAGCCCCTGGCCGGGGTGTGCCGGTGTCCCCAAGCCCGGCCCTGGGCCGGTGGCCTTGGTGGCTCTTGCGCAAGGCGAGGGGCGGCTGCCGGGGGTGGGACATGGGTGGGATGTGGCCCAGGGCACGTGGCCGGGCTCAGCTGTGGCCACCAGCCTGCGGAGCTGCACGGGCTCAGGCAGCTGTCTCCATCCCTTGCCCCGGGCAACTTAAACACCTCTGTGCCCCACACCCGAGCTGCTTGCCAGCCAGCCTTGCAGAACAGGGGACACGCAGAAATGTCTCCTACTCCATGGCAGCCCTCACAGAAAGTTCTGGAGGCAGCACTTCCCACTGAATTTGGGCTTTTTCCTCAGTCCTGGCCCTTTCTTGCCTATGTTTGTCACCAGCCTGCGGAGCTGCACGGGCTCAGGCAGCTGGTCTCCATCCCTTGCCCCGGGCAACTTAAACACCTCTGTGCCCCACACCCGAGCTGCTTGCCAGCCAGCCTTGCAGAACAGGGGACACGCAGAAATGTCTCCTACTCCATGGCAGCCCTCACAGAAAGTTCTGGAGGCAGCACTTCCCACTGAATTTGGGCTTTTTCCTCAGTCCTGGCCTTTTCTTACCTCTGCTCCCCCTGGGCTGCTGGAGGGGGCGGAGAAGCTGCTGCCTGTTCTCACACACACACAGGGCAAGTGTGACTTGCACCTGCCATGGTGGCTGTTCTCCATGGCCTGTGGGCCACCAGCACTGCAGCTGCAGCCTGAGGGACTCTTCCTTCTTCCACTCTGCCCACAGGCTGCATCCTACTACTGCAACAAGCTGGGCTTCGAGGAGCTGGCCTACAGGGGGCTGGAGACCGGCAGCAGGGAGGTGGTGTCACATGTCATCAAGCAGGACAAGGTGAGGTGCCACTGCAGGGCAGGGAAAGGGGAGGTGGTGTCAGACGTGAGGGTGCTGCCCAACCCACCATGAAAACCATCACCTGTGGCTCTTCATCCTCTCCTCCTCTTCCTCGGCAGATCGTGTTTGTTTTCTCATCCGCTCTGAACCCAGGGAATGAGGGTAGGTGTCACTGGGGGCATGGGGTGGGAAATGGCCAAAGCAGTTCTGCTGATGCCTGTGGCTGTTCCTGCCTGGGGCAGAGATGGGGGAGCACCTGGTGAAGCACGGGGACGGGGTGAAGGACGTCGCCTTCGAGGTGGAGGACTGTGACTTCATCGTGCAGGTGGGCAGCCCTCCCTCCACCCCCTCCCACAGCCCCCCAGAACGCTGAGGGGAGGCAGGGAGGGCCTGGGGATGTCTCCCCCTGGCCCAGGGGAGCTGTGGCAGGACAGGATCTCTCTCCTTCTGCCCAGAAAGCCAAGGAGCGTGGTGCTGTGGTGGTGAAGGAGCCCTGGGTGGAGCAGGACAAATTTGGGAAGGTGAAGTTTGCAGTGATCCAGACGGTGAGTGGCAGGGCAGGGCCATGGAGCTGGCTGCAGCTGGGAGGCCCCTGCACAAGCACAGCCCAACACAACCACTTTCCCCCCTCACAGTATGGTGACACCACCCACACCTTGATAGAAAAGCTCAACTACAAGGGCCTGTTCCTCCCTGGGTACCACCCACCCCTCTTCAAGGACCCCCTGCTGTCCAAGCTGTGAGTACTTTCCAGAGGCTCCTGCCTGGCTCTTTGCCAGGGTGTTCTGGTGGGACATCCCCAAGGAGCTGGACAGGTCCCCACTGCCTTGCCTGCAGCCCCCTGGCTGTGGGTACCCCTGAGCCTGGCTGAGACCCTCCTTGTCTTCCCCCACAGACCAAGCACCAAGCTCAGCTTTGTCGATCACGTTGTGGGGAACCAGCCTGACCTGCAGATGGTCCCAGTGGCAGACTGGTAAGGGTGGGGAGAGCTGCTGGGAGCTGGGATGGAGCAGCAGCACAGCTCTGCTGCTCTCACTGCTGCTGCCAGGGCTGATGAAGACAGCAGAGCTCCATTACTGTGGGGATGGAGTGAGGGCTTCACTGTGCCCCTTGTGCCCTGGGCAGGTACCAGAAGAACCTGCTCTTCCACCGCTTCTGGTCAGTGGATGACAAGCAGCTGCACACCGAGTTCAGCGCCCTGCGCTCCATCGTGGTCACCAACTACGAGGAGACCATCAAGATGCCCATCAATGAGCCAGCACCTGGCAAGAAGAAATCCCAGATCCAGGTGGGTGCATGCTGGTGGTTGATCCCTGTGCTGCCTCCACTCCCAGGGGGTCTCCGTGAAGGAACAGGGACCAAGTGCCAGTGATCTGGAGCCAGAGCAGACCTGCTGTGCTGAGGTGGCTGCTGGAGAGCAATCCTGGCTCTGCTCGGGTCTGACAAACCCTGGGGGAGCTCCTGGGCAGAGCCAGCTTACCCCATCTCATCAACAGTGTCTTTGCCATTCCATGGTGCCCCTGGGCTGATCTTGCCTGCATATTTTTAAGCCCACACCCATCCCTTCAGAGCTGTAGCTGTGCTGTCACTTACCATGGTGACATCTTTTCCCTGTAGGAATATATTGATTACTACGGAGGGGCCGGAGTCCAGCACATCGCCCTGAACACCCCTGACATCATCTCAGCAGTGAGTGCAGCCCTGGGACCCCCTGCCCTGGGACCCCCTGCCCTGGGAGCCCCTGCCCTGGGAGCCCCTGCCCTGTGATCTCCTGCCCTGAGACCCCCTGGCCTGGGAGCCCCTGGCCTGTGATCCCCTGCCCTGGCTCTGGGCACGGTGCCCATCACAGGGTGCACTGTGACCCTGCCAGGGTACAAGGACACAGAGCTCATGGCCTTTGTGCTGTGGTTGTTTTACAACCAGGGAGTCAAAGGGACCTGCTGCATCTGTGAGCTGCCTGTCCCTCCAGCTTAAAGCAGTTGGGGTCTGCAGGGCCCTTGGTGGCACCTTTGTCCTTGCAGTGAGCCTGGTGGGACACAGCCCAGGCTGGCTGAGCCCCACAGCCCATCACCACCTTCAGCTGGGCAGGGGCAGGTCTGGGTTGAGCCAGCTGCCTCTGAGCACCCAGCTTTGGGCTCCTCTCCAGACCAAAGGGCCTCCAGAGCTATCAAGTTAGGTCAGAGCAGGACACATGATCCCTGCACAGCTCTCTGCAGTGCCTGGGGAGGACATCTTGGGCCTGCCCATTCCTGGTGCCAAAGTGAAATGATGAGGCAGGTTCTTGAGGTTGGCCAATGCCATGGGAAAGCACCTCTGTCCTGACACTGCCCATGCCAGGAATGCTCCTGGCACAAACCCCTCCCAAACTGAGCCCTGCTGGGTCTCCCCTGCCTTGCAGATCACCAACCTGAAGCAGAGGGGCATGCAGTTCATGGATGTGCCCTCCAGCTACTACCAGGTGCTGCGGGAGAGGCTCAAAACTGCCAAAATCAAAGTGAAGGAGAGCATTGACAAGCTGGCGGTGAGTGTGAGAGGGAAAAGGCCTGCCCAGGGCTGGAGCAGCTCCCTCAGTGCTTTGTGAGTGACAGAGAGCCCCACCTGCTCCTCTGTGGGTCTTCGAGCTGTCACCTCATTTCTTTCCTCCAGGAGCTGAAAATCCTGGTGGATTTTGATGAAAAAGGCTACTTGCTCCAGATCTTCACCAAGCCAGTTCAAGACAGACCCACGGTGTTTCTGGAGGTGATCCAGAGGCACAACCACCAGGTTGGTTTGAGGGTCTCCTGCTGGTCCTGGCCACGAGCCCTCAGGGCCACCAGGGCCTGGTCCCTAACGGTGCCATCCCTGCAGGGCTTCGGTGCTGGGAACTTCAAGTCTCTGTTTGAAGCCATAGAAATGGACCAGGATGCCAGAGGAAACCTGACAGTGCTGGAGCCCAACGGGGAGACCAAGAGGATGTAGGGGATGGCAGGAAGTGCTGCCCTCATCCCCAAGGAGCTGAATCCCAAGTGAACTGGGAAATGTCCCCTGTTTTGGTAAATAGCCCAGACTCGAGTGCCACAAAGCCAGGGAAGCCACTGCCAAGCTGGACAATGTGAAAGGACCCAACACCTCTCCCAGCCCAGCCCTGGCACTGCCCCTCGGTGACTCCTGGGAGATGGGCGTGGGAAATAGCAAACACACTCTCAAAAAGCACTTAATCTGATCCAAACCATGGAATTCTTCACAAAGGGCAGATTCAAGGCATGTGCCAAAGCCACGCAGCTACAGAGGAAGACAGAAGAAACAACTGGGAGTGCTCACATTTGGTCCATGCAAAGTTTTAATTTTAGCTACACGGGAAGCTGCGAAAGCGCGGAGGCGTTTTCCTCTCTGCACGTCTCCTTTTGTAAGATTTTGGTTTAATTGCTTTTAGACTCAATCTTGAATTTGAATTTGCTGAGAATAAACATGGTTTTAGGGTAGCTCCAACACTCTGGAATGAGAATTAATTGTATTTACACTTTTCAGCCTTCCCAAGGCAACAGTCTTGCTCTAATACCTGTAAATTCCTGCATTAATGATGGGTTGGGGTTTCTCCCATGCTTCCAGCAGTAATTGCTGGCATTGGCAGCAATTCCTTGGCTCAGATCCTGGCTCCACGTGCAAAGTCCCCTCTGGGTGTTGTTCTGGTGCTGTCCTTTGCACGGGGAATTCCTCCCCAAGGCAATAAATCCCTTTTTGACCTGGCCTGGGGAGTCCCTGTGTTCCCAGGGGCTGCAGCTCCAGCACCCCCTGTCCAGCCCTCAGCCCAGCTGCTGAAGGACCCCCTGGGGTCTCCCCCTGCTGCACAGCCCCCCCTGCTCCCTTTTCCCAGCATGGGAGCTCCCATGAGCAGCCCAAGGCCCTGCTGAGCCCTGGGCTCTGACAGTCCTGTCCCCAGCCCCTGCTGGCTGAGCCCCCAGCTTGGCTGTCCTGCAGCCCTGTCCTGCCTCTTCCACCTCCTCCTCCTCCATCAGCCATTCCCCTTGTCCCTGCTCCAGGTATTTCTTTTTGAATAAAAGCTCAGAGAGGCACCATGACCCCCCCCAGCAGCAGCTCCTCATTGTGGGGGTACATGGGGGGTACATGGGCCAAACCTGAGCAGCTGCCCCTTCTCTGGGTCCAGGAAGCAAAACTGATCCAGATTTCAAACAAGCACAGAATATCCTGGAAGGGACCCACAAGAATAATCTCCTGGCAATTTGAATAAACTGATTTCAAAAGAAATAAAGCAAAGAGCCTCTGGCCACAATAGCCTCACACATCACTGACCCCTCCCCTGCTGGTTGAGGGATTTTGCCTCCATAAAATTAAAAATCAATAAAGGATATTAAATCAGAGCAATCAGGGGAGAAGGAGGGGCAGGGACCCCTCACCCTGAGGTTGGACATGTTTGGGACTCCTGGTTCACTGTCAGGAGAGCTCTGCTTCAGCTCTCCAGGGCTGTCAACATTGTTAATACTGAGACATTTCTTAAAGTTTATAGACTAGAGTCACTCACATATTTCTTCCATGCAATACAGTGTTGCTTAAATTCATTTCCTGCTCACCAGAATTAATATTTTCAGTGAACTTTGCTGAAAACCAGTTCTTCACACTCTTCTTGTTCTGCCTCCTTGAGCTCTCACAGCTCCAAGAGCCAAGAGCCTTCCTGGTAATATATTAAGCACAACATAATTTTTCTGTAAGAAAAGTCAGTATATTTATGGTTTGCTTTATAAAAGTTACTATAATACAATGGTACATAGTATTCAATTCACAAAAATATGAACAAATATATACAGCATGACACATCCACAACAAAAACACTTTCTCCAAAACAAGATACATACTGGTGACAGATTCTATATGCACAAAACATCCCTAAATTTATAAATTTGCTTAACCAAAGAAAAAGCAGAAATCCTAAATCTTCAAAGCAGAGTTGTTGTTTTTTTAAAGGAACTTAGGAAAAAAAATTAAATTTATTGCAAACAATTTGATCTGCCTACTTTTAAAGGAGGCCCTTGATTTCCACGCTGGAATTAAAACCAGAAAACTGCAAGAACTGGGAGCTGGGTGTTCTTCCACTTTGCTTCAAAACTGCCCCATTGTTTTACAGTGTCCTTCTTGATGTGTTTGCACTTGGACAAATCCTACAGTGGCAATTGAGGAAACTCATAAAAACAAAACAAATATTAAACTGAAAAAATCCAGTTGCTAATTTGCTTAAATACATTTTAGGGTGTCTATTAGACTGTACACATTTCCTCGCTTGAAATAAATAGATTTTGCACATTAGGTTTCAGACTGAGGGAGGGGGGAAAAAAGAAGCCTCGACTTGGCAATTTTTTGTCTTCAGTTTCTTAATGCTTCTAATTGCATCTATTTATTTGACAAAAAACCCCGTATTTATACAGAATTTACATTATACAAAGCTTGACACAAGCTGTAAATGCCACCAGCTCCTTTGCTATACTCAGTCCTTCTTCCTCCCCATCTTGACATGATTTAGAGCTGGAATCTGTTTAAAAAGAACTCCAAATTACAATAGTCACTTTTAATAAACTATTTACATGCTCTTGAAGTACAAAGAAATCAGCAAAAAAATTTCAACATGTTTCTACAAGAAACAGTGTTTGAAGAGAAGATTCTTGAGTTCGCCTATGTACAGAAAATGCATTTTTTTATACTTCAAAATCCTTTTTTTTCCTTTAATTTTTATTTTGTACAGAAATGCACTGAAATGATCCCTGAAAAAAGGTCACAAAAACCAGAACTGAAACTACTGTATTTGTAGGAGTTTTAAAATGATGGTTGTTTTGTCTTTCCTTGTAGAAACAAGCTGCTCTGTACAATATAAATAACTGCAGGATGAGCCCCAGCCCTCCAGCCCACCCTGGGAGTGTGAACCCCAGGGGTCCTGGGGATCCACAGGGGCACCTGCACCCCCACAGCTGCAAACCAAAGGCTTAAACTCTATTTCCATCATTTTGCTCTGTTCTCTTGGGTCATTCCTCCCAGGGAGATGGGATTTTGCAGGGAGCACTGTAAATGTCTGTCTCTTTTTTTGTTTTGGGCTCAAATTGAAGTGACAGTAAATTTGGGATGGGTTTTCCAGTGGCCAAAAGCACTGCAGTCCCTGTCAGCAGCTGGTGAGGCTCTGTTATCCCTGTCAGTGCTTCCTCAGGGAGCTGAATGTGAGCCACAGAACTCCTGCCTGCTCCCAGCCCATCCTGCCCAGCACAGGGCACAGGGGCTGTGGCTGCAGGGCTCCCCTGGCAGGGACAGGCACCCGTGGGATCACTGCACCAGGCCTGGGGCTCCTCACCACAAAGGGATTGGTTTGGAGGTCAGGCAGCTTCCCAGTGCAAGACAAAACACCTCCCAGGCAGGACTCTGCCAGCCAGGATTTATGGGGGAAACAAGAGAAGTCTCAGGTTTGGCTTTGAGAACAGACTAAGATGATTTTCCAAAGTGCTGCAGCTACAACAGCTCTGCTTCTTCCTGGGGAAGCACTGAGAGATCAGCTCCTCTAAAAACTCCCATTATTTGTCTGGGATCCTAAAAGGGGATGAATTACAGGCAGTTTCAGAAGTACCCAAGTGATTTAGGTGCTCATGGTCTTTGGCACCCAAATCCCTTTGGTGCTCCCCAAACACAGGGTGAAGGGCCTGAAGGTGCCAGTGACCTTCCTCCCCACCTTCCTCACCAAGGATTAAGGCCAACTGCAGGGGCTGATCCCACCCAGAGCACACAGATGTGCTGGACACAGGGCTGGGCCAGTGGGGTGTGCTCACCCCCACAATTCCACCATGGATGCACTGGTTTGATGGAGCAGAGAGGGACAAGGCCAAGGACAGGGGCTTCAGTTCTGACACACAGGACACTTCTGTGCATTTCCAAAGCCTTGGAAGCCAAAGTCTCCAAGCTGTGGAGATGCCAACACATTGAATCTCAAAAAAAATAACTAAACTGAGCAGCTGGTTTAACTCCCAAATGCCATCACTGCAGTTCCAACCAACATCCAGTGACAGAAATTTGTGCTTCTCATGATTTTGGGTTCTGGGTCACCAACACCCACTTGCTGGAGAGATTTAGGAAGAAAGAGGAGAAACAAAACAGAACTGAAACAAAAGCAGAGATGGATCATGGACTGTCCAATCTCAGAGACAATTTGCTTGCCCCCAGACAGAAACACAGGTGGTATTAAGGCAGCTTGCAGCACTTTGTGTTCCTGCTCTCTCAGGCCTTTTGTCTGCAGGAGACACCCAGAGGCAGAGGTCTAACCTACATTACAGGCTCCATGCTGCAGTGCAGCCCTGGCAGTTCCACGGAACAGCTGAAAAATCTTCCAGGAGCTTCTTTTGCAAGGTTGTCACCTCTGTGGAGGTTTGGAAAGAATACAGGAATACAGCTGTGCAATTTGTTCTGTGGGGAGAAGGTGTTTAGTTATGCAGATAATCTTCCCATTTCAGAATGACATTGCAACTTCCCCTTACAAGCCAATTAAAAAGGGTTTAGTACAACAAATCTCTGCTTTTAAAGCAGGAGAAATTCAATGCTAATTGAAAAACTGATCCTGTCTATACCTGAATGGTGGTGTAACATTTCCAGATCTCATCCAAAGAACTATTTTTTTGGTGTTTGGTCCCATTTTTAAATGGAACCTCTTGAAGAACTGCAACCTTCACCTCAGCACATCTACAAGGACAAAATATATTGAGAAATCATGTTAAAACATGCCTTCCAAATTTAGAGAAGCAATTAATTTCCATGCTATAGATGGGGGGAACAGGATTGCTTTCAGGGACACTTCTACCATGATTTTCTGGAGGGACAGGACCACCCCTGGCCAAGTTACTGAGTAACAGAGGGAGGAGAGCAGCAGGGCACAGCTTGCTCCTATCACAGGAGGCATCTCCCACATCCAAGGATAGAGCAAATACTCCACATAAAACACTGGAAGGGCAGGGATATGCAGATGAAAGTGAGAAAAAATGAATACAAGTCACATGAGCCTGTTTCCCACCCACAGGAAGAAAGCCCTGCCACAAACGTGGGTCTTTGCTTGCAAGCAGGGCAGGATTTCTCAGCAGGGGCTGAGCTCTCCTCTCAATCTCAGCCTCTTCTGCAAGCAAGGCAAGGCCATCTCCAAGGATTGGGAACTCCAAAGGCCACACAATGCTACAGCTGCCCAGCTGACCCCACTTCTTCCCAGTGACTGAAGTATCCAAGGGTTTCTCACGTGCAGCTGCAGAGGTTTTGATCCCCCATGGACCAGCATGGCATAGAAAATGAGAGGGGAGCCCAAGGAGGGGAGCTGAGGTCTGGCTGCCCTGACTCTGCCCCGGGTCTGGCTGAGGGGCCTTGCTCAGGCTCATCCCTAAGGAAAAGGCAGGACAGCTCAGCTCCAGTCTCACAGTGGACACATCTCCACACACACACACACACCCCAAGCACACACACAC